ATATTTTAGAACATGTGAGTTCTTTTCCTTTTTCCCTAATTATCTTGGGAAAAAGGTATAGGCAGTTTTATAACTCTTTGGGCATAATTCCAAATTACTCTCCAAAATGGTTAGACCAATTCACAATTCCACAACAGTGAATTCCACAACAGTGTCCTGATTTTTCCACAGCCCCTCCAACATTTGTCACTTTCCCCTTCTATCATTTTAGACAATTTGATAGATGTAAAATGGTATCTCAAGGTTGTTTTAATTTGCATTTCTCTAATCTGTGAGGGACTGTCTGATGTTGGCTACTGCCAAGTGAAAGTTGTGGCAAGATTGGGGTAGGATCTGGGTATTAGGAAGTAATGCTCCCGAGGCAGGGGCTGTGGTAGGCGGAGTTGTGGTGAACTGGGATGGGCTGGATACGGAGAAGTCCTGAGGCAGTGGGCAGTGCTATGTGAGATAAGCTGGGGAAGGATCAGGATACAAGGAAGTAGCCGGAGCATGTGCTCCTGAGGCAGGGGGCTGTGCCACGTGGGAGTGGGACGGCAGAGGACGAGTTCCCTTTGCTTAGTCCCCTCCCTATATGCAACGTCAACCCCAGACGCCTCCTTCCTGTGTCCTTCCTGACTTCCTGGGTCACGTACCTTCCCTTTGTGTAGCACTGACCCCAGACGCCTCCTCCCGGTATCTGGGCCTGACTTCCTAGGTCACGTGCTCTCTCTTTGTCTATGCACTAATCCCAGACGCACGCTCTCTCTTTGCTCCTGCTCTGTTGCTCTGGCCTTCCTGTTTGGCCTTGCTATGATGGCCTCTGAATAAAGCTCGGGTGTTGGCACCTCCTGGTAGGCTCGTCTCTGTGTGTTTATCCGGGTAGGCACTGAAGACTGGTATGACTCTGGCAGCCTGCTCCTTATAGGAGGAGAGTGCACAGCGCGGCCGGCACAAGGTCGGCGCGGCCGGCACACTAATCGATAACAATTTAAAGCATTTTTATAATTGCTTTGATATAAACTGTTTTGATTTCTTCATCAGAAAACTGTCTGTTCATAACCTTTGAGCATTTATCAATTGAAGAATGACTCATTCTTTTTTTTTTTTTTTTTGCCTTTTGGTGTGGCAATCAGGGTTAACTTGCCCAGGGTCACACAGCTAGTTAATGTCATGTGTCTGACACCGGGTTTGAAATCAGGTCCTCCTGACTCCAAGGCTGGAGCTCTATCCACTGCACCACCTAGCTGCCCCAGGAATGACTCATTCTTAGAGATATGACAAAGCTCTATTTATACTAGACATATGAGACCTTTATCTGAGAAATTCTCTATAAAAATTTTCTCCCAATTCTCTGCTTTCCTTCTGATTTTTACTACAGTGGCTTTATTGTACAACCCCTTTTTAATTGCATGTAATCAAAACTATCCATTTTACGCCTCACAATGTTCTCTGTCTCTTGTTTTTTCATAAATTATTTACGAATCCATAAGTCTGATAAGTAATATGTTCCATGTTCTTCAAATTATCGTGTAATATCTCCCTTTATAGCTAAGTCATGTACCCATTTTGACCTTATCTTGGTAAATGGTGTAAGATACTGTAAATCTTAATGATAGTTTCAATACCTTTTTTTGTCTTTCATTTAATTTTTTTTTCAACAAACTAATTTTATTTTCTCTCTTACTTCTGCCCCACCAGGAAAAAAAAAAGAAAAACAAAACCCTTGTAAACCAATATGCATAGTCAAGCAAAACAAATTCATTGCACTGGCCACATTGAAAAAAATGTACATCTTTTGAATTTTACATCTCTGTCAGGAGATAGGTAGCCTGATTCATCACTGGTTCTTGGGAATCTTGGTCATTGCATAGCTAGGAGTCCATAAATCTTTTAAAGCTGTTTCAAAATGTTTTAAGAAAAAAATGAAACTAGCCTAGACTATATGTCAAATATAGTTCCTACCACACATATTCACAAATAATTATGTTATAAGACAGAATAGGATAAGGATAGTGAAGAGATCCAGGCAAAGTGTTGTAAGAAATTTGTATGGCAGAGTGATAACTTTTTAGTCAGAAGGATCAGATAAGGATTCGTGGAAAAGGAGACATGAATGTGATCTTGAAGAAAGGACAGATTTTAATAGGTAGTGTTTAGGGTTTAGGGAGCATAGATAGGAGAGGTAAGTTGATAATAGGGAAGGATAGTAGTCTAATATGGCTGGAAAGTATATGTTAGAGGTGATGGAATTTGGATCATCTAATTCAGCTCCTTTATTTTACAAATAAGAAAACTGTGGTCCACAGAGATTGCATGAATTGCCCAAGGTCACAAGCAGGTATTAGCTATTTATTCCACCATTAGAACCCATCTTCAAATTCCAAATCCAGGACCTTTCCCTTAGCAGATCTGAAGGGACTATGCTAATAGCATAGATAGTCTAAATTGCTTTCATTTCGCATCATTTGATTCAGGAATGCAGCCCTGTCTCTATATGTGAGAAAAAGGATAATGTTAGAGAGTGCTGGAAAAGCATTCATAGCAGACAGCAAGGACACAAAGAAATGAGTTTACTATTGGATGTGCTCCTCCTAAGAATGCCTCAGCTCCCAGGTTCAACCTGATACATTGTCCCTTTTCTTGCTGTTCGCAGACCACATTCCAGGCTCTCCAACTGCCAACACCAACTGTCTAGTGAGGCAAAATACAAGGCTTGCAACCGATAAAAATTTCTTTTTGTGACTCCAAGAACTATCTCAGTGCTGTGGGTCTTTGCCTTTGCCACTATGAAGGCTTGAGCTAGTAGACTAGCTTATTAATGCCCTTTCTAAAATGTGGCACCCATAATTGACCATGATACTATAGATTCAGTCAGATTAGGGCAGTATACAGTATGATCACCTCTTTATTTCCTGAAACTTGTCTCTCGTAATGCAGCTTTTTCATATTAGTTTTTTCAGTTGCTTTTTCATATTAGCTTTTTCAGTTTCCATATCATTCTGTTGAGTCACATTGAGTTAACAATACGTTGAAACCCCCATATCTTTGTCAGATGACCTATATAGCCACATTTTCACCATTTTGTACTTGTGAGGTTGATTTTTTTTAATACAGTATAAGACTTTATATTTATTATATTATAATATTATATTTATTATATTTATTGCCATTAGGTTTCATCTTAATAGGTTTGTTCCTATGTTCTAGACTATCAAGACCTTTTTGGTCAATTCTATTTTCTAGTTCAGTTTTGTGTCATGCCATCTATACCTCAGTCTAAGCCACTGGCAACACTATTAACTAGTACAGGGTCAAGCATAGATCAGGGTATTTCTCTCAAGAATTCCTTGCAAGTCTATTCTCTAGCCATTTGGCTAGTTTGGCATCTATCTACTTGTACTATCACTTGGCTGGACCACATCTCTTCACTGTGTTCAAAAGAATAGCTTGAGAGACTTCATTAAATGTTTTAAAATCAAGACAAACCATATCTATAGTGTTTCCCTGGTCTACTGGATTAAAAAAAAATCCTGTCCAAAAAAAAGTTACTTTTACCAAAGTGTTCTTTAAATATTACATAACCCATGGCTCAAAATCCATTTGCGCAAATCTCTCCTCACTGGTGAAGATTGATTACTTAATGTTCTGTTTTTGCATCAGAGACAGAATTGGTAAGATCTTGGGAGAGAAGAGAGATCCTAGTCCGGCTTCTAGATTCAAGAGAGAAAACAAGTGATTACAGACAGTCTTTGAGAAGATCAGAATCTTATGTAAACAGTCTTTAAGCCATGGGTTAAAATTACATGCTTGGTAATGCCACCTATACACCTTTACATCTGTGGGTTTTTCTTAGGGCAGCATAGAGGCAAAGGGACAACAGTACAAACAGCAAGTAACTATAAGGAAATGTACCTACCTGTGCCGAGCGTGCTGGAAAGCAGACTAGTTACATTTCTGTTAAGCCACACACTTGCCAGAATTTCTCAGCTGGTAGTTTGGTAGTTTGTTTCTACTTCTTCTTCCTCTCTTGTTCTCTAAGTGTATTTCACGGAACAATAAGTAATGTTCCATTGTGTTCTGAGATGGTCACAGTCTGGGCACAATGAATTCTAATGGTATTTTCATCCATGACTATACACGTAAAATACACCACCATGCCACTTTCAACAAAAGGCTAACCCCATAGGTGTATTTTTATAGACTAGTGAAATTTTTCATGCAGCAAGAAACTGGTGCACATTCAAGGCTAACATTTGTGATCTGGACTCATCTCCAGTTTAGTTCTTAAGGCATAGGTTTGCAGATGGCAGCAAAGAATGCTTTTAATTAACAGCAAATGAAGATCCATAAGTAATAAATGATTGGAATTTTTACATAATTTCAAATCTTCTAGGAAATCCTCTTTAAAGAATATTATTAGATTTGTAAAAAAAAATCATTTTAATCCTGGGGAGCTGCTGATGGAAGGACCCCCTTCATCAACTGAACTAGAATTCAATCTATAGATACAACATGATAGATAAGTTCTAGGGAATTATCTGAGAAGCACAGGACTTAGGTAACTGACCTCTCTATTGCTTAGCAAAAGCAACAAAATAAGATATCCTCTGAAAATAAGACATTTTTGTTCTGGACTCTATTATCTAGTTCATTAGTCATCTTTCTCAGCTTTGTGTCATGCCATCTATTCCTCGGTGCAAGTCGCTGACAAAAATGATAACATACATAGGTCCAAGCATAGATCCCAGGGGCACTTCACTTGATCATTCCTTGCAAGCTGATTCTTTAACCATTTGTCTAGTTTGGAAAACCAGCTACATGTCTGATCTCATTTGCCCTCTGAACAAACTAATAACTGTTCTTTTCTTAACACCAGAACTTTGTCCCCATAAAATTTTGTTGAAAAAAGTCAACATCCAAATATTTTTGATATGTCCTTTATTATAAACAATCATTGAATAAATATATCTACATTAAATACACTAGAAGCAATAATGCAATTGTAACTTTTACTTGGGAAAACTAAGTGTCTTACTCTCTCATTTCTATGAAAGAAAAAGAACATTCAGAGGTTAGCATTTGAAGAATGTGCCAAGGAGTTGAAATGTGCTGAGATACAAAGCAAAAGGATAGAAGTATAAACAGCAAATAATTAGAGGGAAATCTATTCAAACGTACTTCACAGTGTTAGAATGCATAGAGCAGACTAGGCCCATGCCTGGCCAACAACTCAGTGCACAGGGGTAGGCCCACACCTATCTGAATAACCAGAGTCAAAGAAAGAGCACTTTTCTAGAAAACAACAACAAAATAGCAGAAAACACAAGAGTATAGGCTAGTGGCGAGGCTGGTGTTGCTTGAAGGTGGTATCTATGGAAAGAGGTGAGAGCAAGGTTTTGTCTTCTCAGATGGTGTTTTTCTTACTGTGAATTTGGTTGTCAATTCTCTCTTTGCCTTGATGCCAAATTTCAACTTCTTTGGAGACCTGCAGGAAACAATGAAGGCTGCCTAGTGAAGAAGCACCTCAACTTCAGTGGTTGAGATGATTGCTTTGGTTTTGCCTCTAGGTTTTGTGAAGTTAAGACATCAAACACTTCTGTTATTGAACAAGGTGGAAGGGCATAAAATGTAAAGTTCTTTTTTTCCCATTGGATTACTTGTCTAAGAAAGGACATTGAGGACACCATTACTTGTGACTACCTGTCAGTTCAATTCAACAAATTGGCAGAGGTGGGCAAGTGGTTAGAAACAGGCCTTGGAGTCAGATGCACTAGGGTTCAAATTATGCCTCTGACATATACTGACTGGGTCACCCTTGGCAAGCCACTTAACTTCTCTTGGCCTTAGCTTCCTCATCTATAAAACAATGATAATAGTAGCAACTACCTCATAGGATTGTTGTGAGGTTCCACTGATACAATGTACGTAAACCATTTTGCAAACCTTAAAGGATAGAGACTGAAATCATTGGTATAAGGAACTTCAGGTGAGGAAACTCTCTCTGTCATTGCGGATCAGCACCTTCTCTTCAACTTACTGTCTTAGAGAGTTATCTAGAGCACTGAGATGCTTTTATGACTTGCCCAGTACCCCACCGCCAGTAGAGATCAAAGGCAAGACTTGAACCCAGGTTTTTCCCACTTCAAGCCTAGTTCTCCAACCACTACCTATAAGCACTAAATAAAGATTACATATTATTATTAACCAAATAAATTAACATTAAATTTAGATCAAGTCATTTCTAGACACTTATATGTAAGAATAAGGTAATGTCAGTTAAAGAAAAATACATTCAGGAAGATGAAATACAGAAATGTAATGGGGAGAGATAGGGACTAGACATGATTTCATTGGTATGGGGAACTCTCAGATAAGGAAACACCTTCTGTGATGCAGATTTGCACCTTATTTTCAATTTGTAGTCTTAGAGAGATGTCCAAGGTACGGAGATGTTGAGACCCATTCACAGTTACGCATCTGACAGTAAGTGTCAAAATCAGAATTTGAACCTAAATCTTTCTGACTTTAAGGCTATGAATTGGCCTCCCCAGTGTACTACACTGCCTCTCAGAAATACTTAAAAGCTATGGGATTAGGTCTGCTTTTCTTCAACCATTTAGCAATAGTTTTATAATAGTTTCCAATACATAATAGTGTAATAGCTTCCACTTTGGGTTTCCAGACTTACTTTTGTCTTTCGATGGTTTTCTGAGCCTTTTGCTGACTTTGACTCCATTGCCTTCATTGTTATTGAGCTGCTGGTGGCATTTCTACAGGCTATTCTACTGCGTAACTTGACACCTAGGGACATACATGATGACTGTACAATGGTACTTTATCTGTACATGGTACTCTAATACATCTTAATCTGTATATAGTACTTTAATATATCAAAAACCGGTGATTCCATTGATGGGGGTACTACCTCCATTGACACAGATGACAATCTTTCCACACCCGAGGAGCCAGTTGCATGCACGACGATAGCTCAAACACTCACTTCTTGGTTGCCGGGGATGAGTCTCTAGCACAAACCTAAGCTGGTCCTTCAGTGGGCACAAAGTCTTTTCAATTTAGTAGCACCTGCCAGATGCCTCTTCTGATACAGGCTTTTAAAAATCCAGGTTCATTTCCATGTAATGAGGAGGCAAGAGTATAGGGCTGTTTTGGATGGCCTGTATAGTACATAATATTATTGGAAAATGACTACCTCATATAATGAAAATGTTTTATTTCTATTTTCAGTAGCTCTGATAAATAATTTCTGTCTGCTATATGTAATGGGAGAAATAGGTAATCTTTGTAAATCTGACTTCCACAAATCAATTAGGGTTAGCTAATGAAAACCTAATTGACTTACAAACTTTTACTGTAATTCATAAAGTCATTACCTTACCTTTTTTTTTTTTTTTTTTACTTTTTAGGTAATTGGGGTTAAGTGACTTGCCCCAGGGTCACATAGCTAGTAAGTGTCAAGTGTTTGGTCTGAGACCGGATTTGAACTCAGGTTGTCCTGACTTCAGGGCCGGTGCTCTATCCACTGCGCCACCTAGCTGTCCCTACCTTTTCTTTTAAAGTAAAGGGAGACAATGAGCTCAATGACAAAAAACAAAATAGCCCCTGTATGTAGCAAAATATTTTTAGCAACACTTTTTGTTGTAGCAAAGAATGATGCCCATTGATTGGGAAATGGCTAATCCTATTGGCATACATGAATGCTAATGGTATATTACAGTGGTGAAAGAATGACAAACGTGAATTCAGAGAAAAGTGGGAAGACTTATATGAACTAGTGCAAAATGAAATAAATAGAACCAGGAAAACATGCATAATGAGTACAACAATGTAAATGGAAAGACAAAACAATTGAAACTAGATGATATGAAATGTTAATGCCCAAGCATTAGAAGGGATATGAAAAGGTACTTCTTCCTACTTCTTTGAAAAGGTGAGGGATAAGGCTTGGAATCCTGCATATAATGTCAGACTTTTTCAATATGTTGGTTTCTTTTTACTCTTTTTTATTCTTTGTTCTAAGGGGTGAATTTTTTGAAGGGAGAGACAGTATGAAATGTAGATGATATAAAAACAAAAGGTCAATAAATCCCTTCCTGGTTTCAACTCCACAGAAGATGCTCCTGACAGGTTAAGCTCATCACTTCTAATCAACTCAAGCCTTTATTAACTCCCTTAGCCTCCCCTCTCCTCTTTTTTGGAGGGCTGGGAAACTACCAAACTTTTCCCACTAATTTCTTTTATAGAAGGCAGAAACTGGGCTTTTCAGCTCACTCTACTCCGCATCTGCTGTTCTCCCTGGTTTCAACTCGATAGGAAAAAATGTCCCCACACTAGATACCCCCAGTCTCCCTTCTCCCTCCTGCTTTCCTGCCTCCTTTTGTGTGTTGTCTCCCTGCATTAGACTGTAAGCTCCCTGAGGGCAGGGACCATCTTTTTATTAATTGTGTCCCTAGCACTTAGAGTGCCTGGCACATCATAGGCACTTAATAAATGTTTATTAAATATTGGAAAAACTCATTTTAAAATTGATTTTTTTAAATTGAGAGTGAGTTGAAAATAACTAAGCTTACTTTGTTTCTGAGCATGTTCTACTGCCTTGGAAGCTGTTAGCATGGCAAAAGGATGTGATGAGAGATGAATACTTTGGGCCCGAGGAACCTGGAAGGAAAACAGTACAACTTTAAAATAATGAATTTATGTGTGCCATGAAGAGAAGTTACTCATTTCCCTTGGCTTATTTCATCAATCAATGAACAAGTATTTATTAAGAGCCTACTATGTGTCAGATACTATGCTAGGCACTAGGGATACAAGCACAAGGAACGAAAACAATCACTTGTTATTCAATCACCCTCTTAGTCATTAGACATAATTAACATTCCATTTTATATGTCACATTTTATATTTCAATATAAACTTCATTCCTGTTCAACTAAGCCCTATTCCTCCTCAAGTCCACTCTAATATGGTTTGACTCCCTCTTTAAGGTCACTGGAATCCCTACTTTATACTTAACAAACTCGCCTATCTACATCCTTGAATGATTTGTTCAACACTCCAGCTCCTTGTTCTAATTGAAATTTGTTTTTTCAGTGAGCATACCATACTCCTTACAACCCTCTCCATTGATGGTTTCTCCTAGAACTTCCTGACTTGCAGAATCAGAAGGAGTTTGCACACTCTTTCCAACCCTTT